CATGCCCTGTATAGTCCCCCAAACCAGGAGAAACTGGGGCTTTGCTATTCATTGCTCAATGGTGGGGAGTTTACTGACTTTATACCAGAGATGCCACTAGTTTTTTCTTCCTTAATCAATACCTTAAACTACCAGCACATGAAATCTCAGATAGCAATTGGTCTTCTGCATGTATTGCAAAGCCTTTTCATCTGTTAGGTCCCAAGAAGGAAGACTTACGAGAAAGATATATTAATGCTCATTTCTGCTGGAGTGCAGCAAATCATTCAACAAATGTTTGGGTGTTTGACCTACATTTCCCAGTCTTTAGGATGGACCTTTTCTTGATGGACATATTGTTTATTTTGAACCAACTTTTAGATGTCTGTGTCTGAGGAAGGAATTTTGGGCCTCATTTTTCAGCGCTGTTGTTAGCAGCTGTTCCACTGATTTTGACTAGTGTAAGAATTTTGAATCACTTGTATGTACAGACACTTTAGTGAAGGATTTTGAACTTTCTTCTAGGGTCTTGCTCCTAATCAGCATTGTCCAACTGTAGAACTAGACATCAGGAGAGCATGTTCATTCCTAGATCTATTATTATGAGATTGCAGAAAAGTCATTTATCCCTGTTTCCTTATTTCTACAAGATAAATAATATTTCTCTGCCTTTGGAAAGTTGGTTTGATTTTTTTTAAGTGGCAGAATCGGTACTAGTCTTTCCTGCTATGTGAGTATGAAAGAATGCATATAAGGTGGTGCATTTTTGTATTGCCAGTAGTAACAGCGTAATGAAAATAAAATCATACTTTGCAAGGTGGAAAATTTCACTGTCAGCAGTTCTTCTTAATGCATCTGCCCAAAACAGGAAGGGGGTAAAAGCCACTCTGATCTGCACACTACATTAACTACAAATGAAAGGCTGTTCCCATTCTTTGTCATAGAGCTTTTCATGGGTAATCATTAACGTCTCATCTTAATAACTTTTCTTCACTTTACAGTAATGTCATGTTTAGTAGGGAGTCATTCTTTGGATCAAGCCTCACAAGAAAACTTAGGTATATGCGTTCAAGTAACAATTGAGCCTTACTCTTTTCATATTTCTTGCATGCCATTCTCTGCCTGCACTTTCTGTTTTCACTACAATGGTTCATCTAACCACCATAAAAATTAAGGGGAGATAAGACTGAAAAGTTATTTAAGCATAAAAAGAAAGTTGCATGACCTTGCAGGTAGTTCATTGTTCTGCTGTTCAGAAAACTTGGGATCTGATCCAGGCTCTGCCAATGATCTGCTTAGAAACAAGTGCTTTTCTCTGTTTTCATAGAATGGGAATGATACTAACCTACTCTGCAAATCATTTAGAAATTTACTGTGAGAAAAATATACTGTAAGAGCTAAATACCATTCCTTATGCAGTCCCAACCTTGCCAACACAAATTCATGCAAGTCACTTTGCATTTGAGTTCAGTGGAACAACATCTCTGCATATGTATTTGCAGGTTCTGGTTCAGCAAACAGAAAACAAGTGGATGCTTTTGATCATCTGAATAAAGTTAGTGACATGCTTAAATATCTTGCTGAACTGTGACCTAAGATGTGGGGCAAGGACTTTATCTTCCTGCAAAGAAACATAAAAATAATTTGTAGCATTTCAGGAATTTGAAAGACACATCATCGGAAATACTAATATTTTGACTAAATTGTCAAGCATTTTATTCTATCCCACACAAACACCTTGCTATCATCCAACTTTAGCTCATTGTTCTCATTCCCACTTCATTTCACAAACATGAAATCATCAACACACAACTCAGCTTTCCTAGCCTAAGCTCTTCAACTGTTGGAGAGCTGCTAGTGAAGCACTCCATTTTTTCATCGGATGATTGGCTCATGCAAAATAGTCAAGAGACATTGATTTTGCAGTTTGGTTTGCTTTCAAGTGGTTGATACATGGAGATATGTTCACTGCAAGGTAAAGAGTGGGTCAACATCCATATGGTTTCTACCTATGTTGCTGGCTGCATCCATTGGTGAAAAATATCCAACCTGTTTTCACAAAGAATTGAACATGGATTATTCTCCCCATGGATTTGCGTGACATTGCTTATTTTTACCCATTTCCAATCACTTTAGAAAGTGTGGATGAGAAGAGAGGCTGAGCAAAGGCCTTTAGTGTGCACAAGGGCTCTTTCTCTTCCTGAAGGGCATCAAACTTGAGCCCAAGTTAGGACTTGTGTTCATGTTTCTGGCCAAATA